TTTCCTTTTTTTGTGAGTTTTTTGATGAGCTATGGTGAAAAATATGGGAAATTTTGGGAAATTCTGCGCATGCGTACACTGGAGTTTCACGACCCGTTTTATGTGAAGTGGCGTTAAAACGCGATATTCGCTGTGGCATGCAGTAGTCATGAAATATGTTTTTCACTATTTTTTTACTAGGGTGAAACTTCAATGATGAAATATAAATTATATTTTTTTCACAGTAAAAGCAGTTGGGAAGTTGATGGAAATTTTGGTAAGGGGGACAGACTATTGTGTCGGAAATTTTCGGGAAATTTTTTTATGGAAGAATGCGAATTTGTGGTTTTAGAATCTTCGTCGCCTCCTCCGAGAGTATATCATTTATGTATCATCAACTTGGTTATTGGTACACTTTATTGTTCGAAAGGTGGGATGAGGTTTGGGTTGGGAAACGCGAACTGAAAATGGTTATCAACGTTTTACGCGTTTTTCATGATGTGGAATTTGGAGTGTTTTTATTCTTCATTTCGCGGGTGAAACTCTATTAAATTCGTTGTGAATTATTGCGCAGTTTATTAGTGAAAAAGTTCTGGAAAATATGCATACGGTCACCAATACGCGTTGGTGAAAATTAGAAAATTCTCAATGTTGTAGAAGCTGACGGCCACCACAAGAGGAGGATAGTGAAAGACTTCTTAATACCGTGAAGACTATAGCGTAACGAACTAGCTATGCACGTAAAGAGTATGAACAGCGCAACTACCAATACTCTGAGCATACGTGCTAAAAGAATCTCGGTTTTTTATACATTTCTCCAGGTTCCTGAGTTCGGCTGAGGAAACCATAATTTTTTTCTAATGGTGCGTAAAACTGGAATTTGTGTGAAAGTGCATTTCCATTGTGAGCATTCCTTTCGTATTATGAGAACCTTGTATGGTTTATATCATGTGATCGTTTTCACTCGGGAAAAAACGTCAGTTAATTTTCGTGACAGGAACTTCGAACGATTCACACGTTAAATCGTTCTCAGCGTTCGTTTATTAGAAAACTAAGTTGGAACTATTGTTCGCTGAAATCCACGACGTCATTTTTGTCGGCAAAAAAATTATTTTTAATTTCATAAAGTGTCACCGAATTTTCTTATTTCGTTTCACGTGGTGTTTTCAAACTTTGAGAAAATGACGGGTTTTTCCTCTTCGTATTAGCTTTGGAGTTTTATCAGGTAATTTTGAATTTGGAATTTCTCGAGTGATGAAGTCGTTGGAGCCGATGGATCGCAAGTTGGGGATGGATACGTGGTATGGTCTTGGAAAAAAATGCAATATTTTCAGGGAAATTTTGTATTTTTTTTCAGAATTTCGGGTGATTTTCCCACCTTTTCTGAAAAAATGCTATTTTTCAACTTTTCGTCGACTGTTCTTAGTGAGGAAAATAGCAGATCTTTTTGAAAACGTATTAACTACCATTAATAGCGTTAATTTTGGTTACACGAGTTTTCGCAGCGTGGGAATGAGTCGCCCATGCGCATTTACGATTTATACTGTATCAAGATTAAAGTGATGTGAAGTGGAGTGGAATTTCACCCTAGTGATATGAAAAACAAACTTCAACGACTACTGCATATCACTGCGAATATCGGGGTTTTCACAGAGTATTACTACGCCACTTGACATGAAACGGGTCGTGAAATTGCAGCAGGTACTACGCGAAAAGATGTTTCCTGGCTCTTGCTGAGAATATGGCTAAGGATATGGTTGTTATTCGTGATGATACGTGAGTCAAAACTACAGAGGACAGATTATTTATGCTTTTTGATTTATAGTAGTTTTATACAGTGTAAACTCGATATGCCAATGTGTGTTATTTTGGAGAACAAGTTATCGCTATCATCACAGTCCCAAACGGGTACTCTCATCATCACAACACATGTTCATAGCCATCGTTACATTGTATATGCGATTCTCATTTATCTCGGAAAATGTCAAATTAATGCATACTGTATTTTCAAAGATACCATAACATTCTCAACTTCCTCGACCGAGCAGCTCGTCACGGCAAGCACATAGAAACTGTTGTTAGTCCTATTGATATGTAAACAGTGAGTGCTGTTCGTTTGCTGCGAATCGGTTATTTTCAAGGGAAAAAATAATCGAAGTTCAGAATGCGGCTGCCCAAGCTGCTGCTGATGCGGGTAAGTGTATATCATCATTGTGTTGATGACAATATGAAAATTGTGGGAAATTTTCGTTGGTTTTTGTATACTTCTACCCAAAATCGTGGGTGGATTTCATAATGTAGTGAGAAAACTTATGAGGTCAGCTGAGAAAAGGAAAAATATTTTGTATATGCGATATAGTTTCAGATCGATTCTCATCGAGCTTGGAAAATAGCGCGCATTTGCATATCAAATTGGCCTTTACTGAAATTTCACCCATTTTAAGTGAAGTGGCGTAATACTCTGTGAAAAGCTCGATATTCGCGGTGATATGCAGTAGTCATGGAATATATTTTATTCATATCACTAGGGTGAAACTCCAGTGTTTAAAGCAGTGATTATTTCTCCGACTTTCGGACGGTTTTTCCCAGCGATGATGTCCAATCGGACTTTCTTGTTAGTTGGTGAATCAAGTGAATTCGGAAGGGATGAAAATAACCCTGTAAGTAGGGGGCATCACGAATAGGAGTTTATGACAGAATACTCAGATGTTGATGAAAAACTCTGATTGAAATTTGTAAACTTTATGTAGTGTGTGTAGTACTGGCAAACGTGATAGCGCGCGCCCGATTAATAGATTGTTCAGTTTGAGTTCGTAGAAGCACTATTTTATTTGAAAAAAGCAACTTTTTTAATTCGATTTAAGATTTTTTTCCTCAGTTTGGATTGTCATTCAAAGAAACTATTTTTAGGAGTGTTGGATATTTACCGTTTTTCCGCAAATTTTGGTACGGTCATTGCAGCAAAACGAGAAAAATTCTAAAGTGAAGTTTCAGACACATCACATATTTCAGGGCTACTGCATATCACCGCGAATATCGCGTTTTTTTCGCCGAGTTTTATGCCACTTCACGAGAAAGTGATTGTTGGAAAATTAAATGTCTTGTTCTACACAAATAGCAGAGCCCGAATACGAGGAAAAAATGCAAAAAAATGCAGAAATTTTCCAGTTTGAAAATTTCAGTTGTTCGGAAGCCGTTAGATTTGATGAGATATTACTGTTCTTCATAAGTAACAGAATCTGAGTATGTGGGAAAAAAGTGCGAAAAAATTTGTACAAAATTTTTCCAGTTTTACTGCCGTCGTAAACTTTCATGATATATTGTTGTTCTGCGTAAGTAGCGTAATTCGAATATGAATGAAAAAACGCTCAAATTTTTTTCGTAAAATTTGATGTTATATTATTTCTCTGCATAAAGAAGGGGAAAAAAGCGAAAAATTGATACAATTTTTTTCAGTTTTAATGACGTCGTAATATTTGGTATTATATTATTTTTCTCTGCGTAAGAAACAATTTCCGACTATGGGGAAAAATTGCTAAAAAATTCCCCAGTTGTAAATTTCAGAATAATTTGGGCGTTGCCGCGGCTGTGAAATCGGCAGCTGCGGCAGCTGCGGTGGCCGCTGCCTCCATTAATAAGAAAAAGAATAGGACCGTCACGTGAGATGATCTTGGCTGATGATGTAACGAATTGAAATGTCAGTTACGAAGCTAGAATGTTGAAACTGTTGTTTCTCAAAATACATGAGTGAAAGATAGTGGGCTTCAGTTTGGTTCATGATGATTATGATTTTCATGTGCTTGAGATTGTATTATGTTAATAGCAGTATCGTGTTCAATTGAGTTAATGCTTTTAGTTTCACCACCCGTTTTACGTGAAGTGGCATCATAATACTCTGTGAAAAACGCGATATTCGCGGTGATATGCAGTAGTCGTGAAATATATTTTTCACTAGTGTTTTTCATGTCACGTGTGAAACTCCATTGCTTTTCGTCCATATTCACTGGTGGAGTTTCACCAGTTTCAAGTAAAGTCGCGTAAAACTCGGTGAAAAACGCGATATTCACACTACGGGGTAGTCGTGAAATATATTTTTCACTTGTGTTTTTCAAATCACGGGTGAAACTCCATTTGATTTGGGGCACTCTGTAGTTGACCATGTGCATGTTTTCTCACACCAGGAGGACGTACTACTGAACTTATGTTGTTATATATGAGCAACTCTCTATATGAGGTGAGTTGGAATATGTTATGCATATGTGTTGTTGTATATGTTGTATATTGTTGTTGTTGTTGTTGTATATGTTGTATATGTTGTTGTTGTATATGTTGTTGTCGTAGCTCGCAAATTAGTTTTCAAAGAACGCTGTATGTCACAGCTGTGATCTGGCGAGTGCGAACTCAGTGTTCCTGTCACGAGAAAATATTGGAAACCCCAAACCAAGTTGTGCTTGAAAGCCGATCGATAACAACTGACTCAGTATATGTGGCAATCCACATATACACGAAAAATGACAGCTCCTCGGAATTCAACGAACAATTGTTTTAGTAAATTGACCATTGAGATAACACTACACTGTATATAATAGCAGAGGAAAGATGCCTTGAGAGGCTGAAGCCGGGTTATACTCAATCGATGCAGACTATTTAACCATAAGCTTGGCTAAGGGGGTCCTTCACCCGAACGAGCTGCTGCGGTTTAGGACAGCGATGGCGATGATGATGTATCAACATCATTCGAATGACAATGAAATATGTGTTAAGGTAGCTGTGAGCTCTTTCTACAATCAAAGGCGAACTCACTGTGAAGTCTGACGAGTTTATCATCGTTTCGCACGATCACGTGAAATCATAACGAGCATAAATGTCGCATATTCCATCTTCTGAGAAAATTGAAGATATCAGCGAAAAAGAAACATGTTTGAATTCTTACTTATGATGAACTGAAACTTGGTTTTCTTGTAAAGTTCAACAGCTCCTTTGGAGAGAGGATTCACAATGAGATACATGGCAACGACCTTGGGCATTTTCATACCGATCTGACATGCTTATTGCTGTTGAATGCGAATCATTTCTCTCATATACAATGTAGAAAAATATGCACATGGTCAACTGTGTTGGTGACAATATGGAAATTGTGAGGAGATTTTGGAAGGAAATTCTTGTTGGTTTCCATTGGAAACTTTCCAACACCGTATAGAAAACTCCCGAGCTCAGCTGAGGAAAGCGAACATACACTCCTACTCCAACACTGTATAGGAAACTCCTGAGCTCAGGTGAGGAAAGCGAACATATATTCCTACTCCAACACTGTATGGGAAACTCTTCTGAGCTCAGCTGAGGAAAGCGATTACATATATTCCTACTCCAACGCTGTATAGGAAACTCCTGAGCTCAGGTGAGGAAAGCGATTACATATATTCCTACTCCAACACTGTATAGGAAACTCTTCTGAGCTCAGCAGGTGAGGAAAGCGATTACATATATTCCTACTCCAACACTGTATAGGAAACTCTTCTGAGCTCAGGTGAGGAAAGCGATTACATATATTCCTACTCCAACACTGTATAGGAAACTCCTGAGCTCAGCTGAGGGAAGCGATTACATATATTCCTACTCCAATACTGACACTCACATATTTGAATGTATGGTTGATGAGAGCTGTGGCAACACCCTTCCTACGCCAGTCTTCCAGCACTTCAACCTGAAAGTTGATAATGAGAAAAGTTCATACTGATCATATCTAACAGTTTTGATAACATTGCGAATTATGATAGTAATATTGGAGTTTCACCCGTCTTACGTGAAATGGCGTAAAACTCCGTGAAAAACGCGGTATTTGCGCCTTGCAGTAGTCGTGAAATATGTTTTTCACTAATGTTTCTCATATCACGGGTGAAACTCCAATATACACTGCGAACCGAACCGTTATGCATATCTAGATTTTTTTTCAGTTTGGGACTAGTACGACTATAGACTACAAAACGTTTCTAAAACGTTGGCGTCAATGGATTCACATTGTTATCATGTTGATATTACTCGAATACTCAAAGATGACAATATCACTTTATATAACGGTTTGGTTCACACTGTTAATGAATTGAATAATATAAGGATAGTAGTTTCCTTTCATATGATAGTCTTTAGACCTCTCCACACTTACCAATTCAACGTGACCTATTTCGCCTTTTTTATCGGCTTTGGGACTGTGAAGAGAAAAAATGCGATTCCTGCGGAAAGGGAATTGATCATTCACATTTTCTCTCTGATTAGATGGTCTAAATCTTCGTCGATGTCCTTATCGGGTATAACCGTTCGAATGATGCCGATTACGGTCTGAGAGACACACACATTTCACCAGCCATTTTTCTGGGGATTTTAACGTAGATCACCCGATGAAAAACGCGAAATTCGCGGTGATATGCAGTAGTCTTGAAATATATTTTTCACTAGTGCTTTTCATATCAATAGGGTGAAGCTCCAATTTTCGATGAATGTACTAGTATCATTCGATACCGTGGAAATTGATAATATACACATCTGTATAAGGGCCGTATCATGGCACCATCAAGGACTATTATATAAATTTATGATAGTCGAAAACAAGCCGCTCGTGGCAGTGTGGGAAAATATGCATATGATCAACTACATGTGTTGGTGACAGTATGGGAGTTTCGAGGGAAATCTTGCTGGTTTTTGTACATTTGTATATAAACTTCTGAGCTCGGCTGAGGAAAGCGATTACATATATTCCTACTCCAACACTGTATAGGAAACTCTTCTGAGCTCAGCAGCTGAGGAAAGCGATTACATATATTCCTACTCCAACACTGTATAGGAAACTCCTGAGCTCAGCTGAGGAAAGCGATTACATATATTCCTACTCCAACACTGTATAGGAAACTCTTCTGAGCTCAGCTGAGGAAAGCGATTACATATATTCCTACTCCAACACTGTATAGGAAACTCTTCTGAGCTCAGCAGCTGGGGAAAGCGATTACATATATTCCTACTCCAACACTAGCCCGGAGCGAACTCACGTTCTTGCTGGTAGCAACATCTACTGCAACGTAGCAGAGGTGACTCTGGCAGCGCTTGAAATTCTCCCCGGGCATCGTGTCACCCTGCATATACACTCTATATTCAATATCGGCCAGAGAACGTCTCGGATGATGATCTCCAGTACGGAGGTAACCCTCAGCTGAAATGATAAACGCAAGGTGGAGGAAGAGCCCGGTCACTTGCTTCATATGAAATTAAAGATAGAGGAGACTGTATGTAATTGTTATAATATTATAGTTTTATTTTTCCGTTAACCTTAGATTATGGGCGGGAGAGTAGGCGAAAACGACTACTTCCTTACGGTCGTTGGTAACTTGGGAGGCATTTAATACATCGATATTCTAAACTCAGAAGTGCTTCTCACACGTATAATACGATTGTGAACTCTAGAATTTATTTAATGAATATGGAGTAAGTAACGTGGCAGGATGACTTCACCAACTGCACATGCGTGCAGGTATACTCCGAAGCCCGACAGTTTTACTTCGTTACACAGGCAGGCATTATTCAACTGCCAACAAATGTGATCGATGACTTCAACTTTGAGGATACACCGGAGTAAGTATGTTCAGTTCTCTTCGTGAGAAGGAGAGCGGCTCGTCAATATGAAGATAAAGACTCCGTTAATCTCCTTCTCAGACCGTAGCGCATCTGCGTGCAATCGTCCCGGAGGACCACACAAGCACCCTTGTGTGTCACCTTCATAAGAATGTCGTGGTTTTTTACATGAGCATACAACCTCTGTGAGTTTATGATAGAAGTGGTAGTTCTACACTGGTAACATGTTCGTACCACAGATTACCGAATTTCCAGGAGCGACTATTTTGGACGTCATCGGCGCCAGTAAAGCTGCGCTATTTTTCCGTGACGACACGGAAATTGTGAGGAAAATTCGGGAAAATTTCGTAGGTTTTTGTTTACTCTTAGTCGTGTGTAAACTCCTAAAATGAAGTGCGTTCCCATTCTCTGAACTGAACTGAAAAAATCAAGGACATGCTCCAATACTAAGTTCTATACTCGGTGAGAGCTCCTCGTTATTACAAGTTCTGCACGCGCACGCACGAAGCAAATTATATACAAACACGTCTCCGCATATTATCAGCATATCCGGTTTCCGGCTCGTACACGGTGACCTTAACAAGTATCATCTTGCGTCTCCGGGAGGTATGCTCTTAGGCTTCACAAGATATAAGCTCCAACTTCCAAGGCCTTACCCTTCGTAGTTCGTGAGAAACCGAAAAGTGGTTGAAAACTTTCTCCACGTATTCTCAGCATACACGTGCTAAAATCGTGCCATATTAGCTGTTACTGGAGAGGTATATCTATAACTGGGCGCCTAATTTGATGTCATACATCAACAGAAAGAGGATATTTCACAATGGTTTACCTCCATTTTTCAGCCCCATATCTGGAGGCATAAGCCTGCTAGGGCGTCTTGAGGAGAGTGAAAACAGTCTACATCGACTTTGTACAGTCAGGCCCCTCTGCTATTCTGCCTAGGTATTGCTGACTTGCCAGATCGCTTAACAACCCTGTCGGAGGTGAAGTCGCCTAACTAACGAATTATTGTCGTCCCCTCATGAATTTTTCTAGAGTCGTTTTGTGTCGAACTACTCTACCAATGAGGTATTTAATTGAGCCCAACTTGGTAAAATACCAATGCGGATGATTATCGCATCGCTCCGCTAGCAATTCGCACTGCAGAGGTGAGCAGATGTTCCTCGCATCCGTACGGTCACGGGATTCTTTATTCCATCTCATCACGCTCGAGAGCAAGCACCGTAGCTAGTAGCACACTCGCTGAATGTCTTTGATTAGTATTAAACCACGTTGACAGGAGTGTGAAGTGGGGGAGCTGATCTCTCTAGAGCTGACATTTTGCTATTCTCTATCACATTGGATCTTCACGACACGTTTTACGTGAAGTGGCGTCGTAATACTCTGTGAAAAACCCGATATTCGCGGTAGTAGTCGCGAAATATATTTTTCACTATGCGTAAAACGAGTAAAACTCCATTAAATCCATCTTCAATATGTCCGATTATGAATCGAGTATGCAGTCAGACGAAGCACGTGGGAGCGAGCACCATAGCGATGTGAAATCTGTTTTCCACTAGTGTTCACGGGTGAAACTCCACTATTCCTTATTATGTCAATACCACAGACAAGTCTTGACGAAGGTGAAGTCGTGACTGCTCTCGACAGCGAGAGTCTTCGCTTTGTATTCGCTGTTATGGTGAGGACATGAGATTCTTCTCATAAAAAGTTTTTTTTCTTAGCTGGCATGTACCGGTATCATGTATTGGACAGCCCGTCGGCGAACGAATCAACGTAGCCAAGAGGAAACACCTTTGGAAAAGTATGTTGAATATTTCCAACTCTTGATATGGGAAAATATGCACATGATCAACTACATGTGTTGGTGACAATGAAGTTTCACCCGTTTTACGTGAA